AACAGCGCCATCGGTTCGATAATTTTTTGGTTTCTATTCATCTCCAAGTATACCATTCGAAGAATTCCCTATAAAGAAACTGCCACAAAACGTCCACCAATCACTACTGGTTCCAGCGCAGCATCGTCATATGTATGCCGTCAACGAGCGATCCTTCATATCGCTTAGCTCGTCTCCGATCACAGACGAAGTGAGTGCTGTGTGGCCTCGCAGTGATTATGATGTGCAGTGTGTTACTAGTTTTTCAGATCCCGCCGAATGCCGGATTACGGTAAGTTGGAGATCTTTTGTGTGTGCGTCTCTCGCGCGGTTGCCTCTCAACGCCGTTATGGTGGCCGGATGTTGGATGAGGAACCAGTATATGGCAGTAATCACCTAGGCGTCCGATTATCTAACTCACGACCGACGCAGGTAACTTGCGGTGGTTGCGAGAAAATACGATCAGATTGGGGGGAGGGATTAGAATCGACGAGGGATTTGAGCATATTTGTCAAAGAACGCAAATGCAAAAAAAAATCTCATTTTGTTTACTATGAGTTCGTGCTCAGGTGATGCTCTTTTTATTGTTGTTGTTATTGTTTAAGTAAACGCATTCAACAAAAAGAAACAAAATTTTACAGGTACACTCAGCTCCTCGTTCCATAACTAATAAATCACATTCAAAATGTGCGCCCTATTGTGCGATGATTGTCATTCGACACAAAGGCAAGCGAGCATGCCTGAACAAGGCTTCTCCGGGAATTCGCCGCTCTCCATTTTTTCTAACCGTAATTATTCTTTCTCAACCAGCAGCGTAGATGAATTATAGTACGTACATGGTACGGCTTGCGAAATGGATTTCAAAAAACAGCAGAAGCCACCCGATTTCCTAATAGCCGGCGCCTTTCATTAGCCACACCTTGGCTCGTAAAATTGCGTTAAATAACTGTTACTCGTTCTATCTTACCTCATCATGCTTTCTTTTCAAGAGGTGAGATGACCAGTGTTTACCTATTCTGTCCTTTCAATCAGTTGCCTACGAACTGTAATTACGATAATTGAATGGTCAAACAGTTTACGCACCAAGACAATCGAGTGACAACGAGTATTCTCTTCGTGAGACCTTGGTGAAGTGCGAACCGACACCCAATTACCAGACAGATACGGTAACTTTTCACTGCGACCGGGGTCAACGAGGTCGCCGGTGCGCACTGATTAATTGCATAGCAGACTTGGAAAATAGGGAAGAAGGATACACCAAGTGATACATATACGAACTCTTTGTTTAGCAACATCAATATTGTGATAGTTGCTATTCAATTACCGTTTGGAACTGGTTTTTTAGAATTTTCTTGCTATTCGAATTTTTTTGCCTTTCCAAATGCACACTTCATAGGTGCTTTTTTTGACAAATTCAAGTCCTCTAGATATCTGACTACCATAATTTTCTTACATGCTAACCGTGATAATTGACTACCTAGATCGTGCAAGCACATAATGCCCAACTAATCCATGAAGACGCGCAAATAAACTACATGCAGCAACCATCAAACCGTCGTCGCCAAACAGCTCGGGCAGCTGATACGAGTCTTCTCGTTTCTCACCTGCCCATTGATTGACAGTGCAATGGATTGGATTACGCGCTCTGTTTACAATAGAATAAAGAGAGGCGTGTGGGCGACGAATCGTCGCCTCGCAAGACATGCGCCCAATTGAAGGGGTCTTAAGGGCGTGCAAGCGGCTGGCGGGTACGGTAACATCTTAAATGTGGCAACCGTGAATTATTACAACTTCGGAGCTTTGCTTAAGCTTGATTTTGCAAATGTGAGAGCAGTCCATTAGTGAACTGAAATCTAGTCTTGCAGCAATTTATTTCATTTGAAGATGATCTTATAATAAAAACAATTGTGCCCTCTTTTGAGCGGCGGCACTCTCAAGTTGCCCATGTGTTATGTCTTAGCGACAAGTCTAAAATTATTGCAGTAAATTTGTGCTAAATTAGCCTAATGATTAAACTCCTAGTCAGTTAATCTTCCACTTTTTTTTGAACAAATGTCTTAAGCACGGAGTTCTTAATTGCTGCAGAAATAGATTTTTTGTAGAAAGCTCAAGGATGTGAAACGATTATAAACTAAGCCTAATTGCAATTGAAGCACGATATCCGCCAACAATCAACATCATACCCATTTCCTGCAATTGTATACTCAACCTTAATTGACCTTAAATCTAATTATACTTTCATAAGCCATATTCAGACAGTACAGAGGAAATGCTAGCTACTTAACGATGTTTTCGCTTTGCGCACCTGCACACCTTTGCATTCGACGACTTCAGGCGTAAAATTGACGCAAGGATGTGGTGTGTTTTATTCATCGGCTTGCTGATTGTTCGCCAGCAGCTCTTAAATTGCCATCGCATCGCATCCCAGGACCAGCACACGACGCACTTAGTTTTATTACTTCAGCTCTCCAACGGCGGCTGCCGCTTCCGTGGTGCAAGCAATTCGTTAATTAAGATCTGGCTAAGGCAAACACAGTTCCGTCAGCAACGACGATGGAAAAGGGAGCGAATAGCCAAAATGTTATTTTTGAAAATAACAAATTGTAGCCAGTCTAGATAAAGTAACTCACACGCAGAAGCTACTTCACCCAAAATTTTTTTTTGTTTTCAAAATCGATTTTTTGCGGCTCAAATCATAGAAAGGTAAATTCAGAAACAAAAAGACAAATTTTTTTTTGAAGAACACACTCATACCGCATCTGATCAATGCAAGAAATGAAAGATTCCTATTTTAGATATCATTGTTATTAACTTAGAATTTCAACCATGTCTTATACAAATAAGAGGCAAATAGAATTTTGAAAACAATGAATGTCACTGATAATAAATTTAGAGAAAGGTCAAGTTTTGCACTATAGCTTTAAAGAACGTATAATACAGTTAACTGTTCCGTGAGTATGAGGATGAGTACAGCTACATCATTAGCGGTATAAAATGTTGAAGTTATAGGAAGACGTAGCTAAAACAATACCTGACAAAATCTGATAATTTTCACAATTTCGCAGCACTCTTTTGAAATCATGAAGATTTGTAGCGCCTCAATACTTCTGATTATGTCTTATTATATGGCTGATTCAGTAAAGAGCCTTGGGGACAGAAGTGAACAAATGAAGATATGAAGTCTTGGATAGAAGTTAGTTTATGAGAGAAAGAATTTTCAAAAAGCTGTTAAGCACGAGGAGCTAGAAAGCAACTGCTTGAGTATTCGAGATACTTAAAGAAGCTACTCTCTGAACTACCGTAAACCGCAGCCGCCACCTTCTTCTGCTTCATAAGGCACGATGCATACGAATCAACAAGTAATATTTCGTCACGAAAACATTGGAGACGATCGCATGAAATATTCAGATAGCAGTTCATCCAAAATTTTTCGTAACCGCTACGAATAGAAAATTGTGCGGCCGATTAATTCTTTGTTTTGAAGGCGCTTCAGACGAGGCTGATTGAGGAACGCTTGCGATGCTGTTAAGGTCGGCTTCAACGGATAACAAGGTCGGTGAGCTAGTCATGAAACAAGAAAGCCGTCGAAACTTCACTAGATTCTGTGCATTTTTCAAACATATTCATTTCTGTAACGATAGACTCAACCGACTTCCGTATTCAATGTCTCTAAAAACATTCATAACATACTATTCATCTAATTGTCATGATG